ACCCATAAATCGGAAGTAGGGACAGCAATGCAAGTGCATTATAAAAATCAGTGAAACCCGACATAGGCAAATATGTGGATGTTCTGCTTTACTACGGAGTCAGCTCGTGGCTGTAAAGGCGCGTATTAAAACTGCGTTTTACTGCCTCCAAGGATCAAAATATGGCACATCATCCAACAATTACGGCTGCTACCTCGAAAACACGGTACCTTACATTTATAGGGCCCCTACGGATTTTTAAATAAATAAAATAAAATAATTTTATAAAAGACACATCTGGGTCCCTTCCCAGCAAGCAAAAATAAATTTTCATATGAACTTTAGACGAGGTAGATAGAATCTGTTTAATATACAATTCATAATTTCTGAATTAGTAGTCCGTTAAAGAAAATGATGAGCGAGCAGTGAAAAAACATTTTAGAATAAAAAAATGATTGGAGTAACTTTAAAGAAGAACGAAACTGTCGTTCATGAAAGGACAAAAATGCAGGCAGAACCCGCCTGCACGTGGCAGTGTATAACGGATTATAAACGGGCATCGTCAGGTTAGAAATAAATTTCAACCTTGAGGGATATGTATACTGTCTGCATGCAGTACTGAGTAAAGCGTTCGAAACGGACATCATCCAAGCAGAATTCATATTCCGGATGAGGCCATTCAAGCCAAAGTGGCGAGGCGAGAGGAACCCGGACCCGATCGGTCACAGTCCGTTCCGAGCCCAGCCGAGGAATGGGCAAGGGAGGTACGACCAAACTACTAGCAGAAGGCGAATACAGAGGATTCCGCCGTGAGTGTCGACAGACCGCTTGAGGTTTAAATGAGGAGAGGACATCAAGAACCACGAAAATCGTCGCTATTGGGGAGGGGTGGTAGCAGTGGATTTAGTAACCAATTCAAAACATGGGGTTGTAAAGATATTAGTGAGTGTTTACACTTGATCTACTACTAAATCCCAGGAGAACCCTTCTCATAGTCGAGGAGCTGAGTGTTTGGGAATAAAACCGTTGAAAGTGCCTTTCTACTTTCCGGTGTAGGGTGCTTGCGTAATTTCGACTTGAATACCAGTAACTTAAGCGATGACCTAAATTCTGGCGGAAGATTATTCCAAAGTTAGGCATAGTTGGAAGCAAAAAAGAGGGAGCGCTTAGATGTAGTGCAAAGAGGCGCCGAAATCTCCATGGAGTTATGCGTGGCATAAGAGCGATCTCTCGGAGTGAGTGTCAATGAGCGGAAGTTTGGATCTAGAGTTAATGCGAAAAAGGAAGCAAAGGCCAGCTTCGAGTCTTCTTACCCACAAATCCTAATGTTCGCCAACTGACATCTCTGAATAGAAGATATACCGGACGAAGCTTGAGAGAACAGTTTCCAAATAAAAACCCTCTAAACATTTTCGCTCTTCTAACGCTCACAGACGTTCACTAAACCAAAGAAAGAGCATCAGTATTCGAGGACTGGAAGAACAAACGTTTGATAAAGTCTTAGCTTCATTTCTGGAAGGAAAAAATTATGCAATATGAATCCACATATCTACGCGGCTTTGGCAGAGATTCTATCTGCATGAGGTGATAAAGCAAGTTTATTTGTATAACTTAAACCTAGGTCCTTTATAGTGAGGCATTCTGAAAGTGGGTTATTCTGAAAAAATATGGGACCAGGCAGTTTTGCAGGACCAAAAGACTTTAAATTGCACTTTAATGATGAAAACTCCATCTGCCATGTTGAACCCCATCTGCTTAAGCGTAGTACATCGGCGTTAATTTTTTCAACACAAACCTTTGCGGTGTCCTTAGAGTATGAGTAAACACACTTGAGGTCATCCACATAATTAAAAGTTTGTAAATTTCCGAGGTCAGTCGAAATATCATAGATGTAAAGAAGGAAGAGTAGCGGACCCAGAACCGTGCCTTGAAGTACGTCACTCGTGCTCGAGTGAGGTGTCGAGTAGCTATTACCGACCATGACTTTCTGATATCGGTTGGACAGACAGGACCTGATGAAGTCGAGTAGAGGCGGCCGGATGCCGAGAGTTTCCAATTTTACTAAAAGATGTCTACGGGGCACCTTGTGGAAGGCTTTGCTAAGATCAAAGTACATAACTACCACTGACTGCTGCTCATTACGAAGAGAAGTCAGTAGATTAAGAAAAGCCAAGTAGCAAGTTTCACAGGATCGTTCAGGTAAAAATCCATGCTGTCTAGAGCTCAGAAGTCGATTAGCTGGACAGGAGTCAAGAATTTCATTGAAAATTATCCTTTCAAGAAACTTTGCTAAAGACTGTGTTTTGTGCACGTCCCGATAGTTATGAACATCGGACCGAGATCCAGCCTTGAAGCCAGGAATGATCATTGACATTTTCCATGTTTCAGGAAAGAATCCATTTGAAATATAAACCGAGAATAAATGACTAAGCAATATGGGAAGGTCGGATGTTTATTTAATAATCGAAATTGGAGTCCCGTCCGTTCCTGTGCAGTATGAGTTTTTCAAACGACTTATGTGTTTCTTAATGAGATCTGAGGAGACATCAATTGTACTAAGTGTCCTATCTGAAAGTGAATGAAAGTATGGGTGGAAGTTCGTGACCACGTTTAGAGAAGGGCTGATGACGGAAGATGTTAGCGAAAGATTTTTTATAACAATTAGTCAGCAGCGGTCATGAGGATGGACGTCAGTCAGTCAACGCACGGTTCCTATAGCTTATACAATTTCTCGCGAATGTTCCTCTCGTCCGGAAAAAGGAGTTTAAGGTAGGTATCATATGACCTTATTCCGCTACACATGACTCATTTTACTATGAACTCTAAGGCTTCTCGAACAAGTGCAGTTTTGTTGCTCACGATGCACCACGTCCGAATCCCATTTTTTGTGTGACCCTTCAAATTTCCCAGAGAATTTGAAGGGGCAGTAGTCGATAAAAACTGCAAAGCCCTGTTTGATAGCATGCGTCATTTAAGTTCTGATTCTAACTATCCTGCGGCAGTTAATCGACCGGTTCACTGTGTTTGCTACCAAAAACCCCAGCCCTAGTGACAAGAAGTCCAGATATTGAAGGTGTGTGTCAGGGACTTGGTTTAGATTTATCGACCAGTATCAATTAATTCCCGCCCATTCAAGTCCCCCTAAGTGCAAAGATATGATGTGCTTTGGGATTTTTGTAACCAGCGGTTCGGCCTTCATCCTATTTATCGATCATAGCTTATGCGCCAAGCTGCGAAAGAAGCGCATTTCATGCCACACCATATTCGAGTAATTGAAAAACAAAGATTTTAGTGGCTTCACTATATTATTAGTTGATTTGATATATTTTTCTTTGAGCGACGCTCTCAGCTCCGCTGAAGTCGGACAAACGCTACCAAAAAGAAGACCCGATCGCTGGAACAAGAATTTTGCTGGTCCGACGTTTCGGATCCCCGCCCGAATCCATCGCCAGAGACACAGTCAGATAAGGGTAGTGAATTGCCCAGGTGTTGCAGTACTTACAGGATATAGTTTTCTGGCCGCTACATGCCTATCACATTATACAGCTCCCAAGGGCATCATGGTTCGGCTGGTCAAGTATTAGAGTAAGCAGTTACCATTCAGTTGCGATGCTCTTATGAATCAATCAAGAATTTCGGCTGCCACGCTCATCGTACGCCGCCGTGTGGCTGACTACCGAAGTTCGTTAGCCATTTGGACTCCTGGGTGGTTTGGCTCGCCGACTGCTACCATGACTGTGGTTCTTTCGGCCTTATTATCTGACTCTTTATGGCTGCCCACGGTCTGTGTGCAACTCCAAGGAGGCGGCTGACGGCTTCCGAGACATCCTTCACGTTCGGGATAGTTTGGAAAATTTTTGGGTCGGTTGCATTTTGACTCTTGCCTCGTTTACGCAGTCACCAGTTGACGAAGTTACGCGGGTAACTATTTATTCTAAGCATCCCTCGAAGGTATTGTAATTCGACAGCCTTGTATTCCGGTTCACTGCACATGCTAGGACAAGGAGACCATTTCCGCACTTTATGGTCAGTGTTCTCAGGCGTTCCGTTCAAACGGCCAAACCCATATGCCCAGCCCTTCTCCTCAAGTCACTATTGCAAATGAAAAACTTTTCAATAAGTCAACGCAAGTTCATGAGCACCTACTATGGACAAACCATCTTATGTCGATAATAGCCAAGACATTATGTTGTATGTTTAAAATCACTCACAGAACAGGTATGGAGTTTAACGATTGGGAAATCCGCAAAGCATTATTCATTATGACCATAACTGCACCAGTTTAAAAGGTCTGTCTTCTCAACCGTCTTCAAGTAATGAAACATAATATCCGGGGAGTGCTTCTCGCCACAGCAGAGAATAATAATATTAATAATGATAATAATAATAATAATAATAACAATAATAATAATACATTTATTAAAGACCCGTCGGGGTCCCATCAAAGCGAATACCCCAAAAGGTTGCCTAAAACCGATAACATAACGCGCATTAAATTTCGCTTTGAATGTCAGAGAATTTGCTGAAACTTTCAGGGAGACAAGGGTTGCGTGTTCCATACGCGTTTTGACTACTTTCTAGTGCATAACCGGCCTTGTCCGTTTTTCACCCTCTTCTACTCCACCGCTTTTGTCGTATTTTATCAACTCCCACCTGACTTTCTAGTCTTATTTTCAAATTTTCGGTTCTAAACTTGTTCCTACGGTTTGACCCCTGATGTTCTCACCGTGCCGATTTTGGCCGTGAGCGGTCCTCCGTCTCCAAAGTCACGTCACTTGCTTTTCTTTTTCAAATACTACAACCCTTTATCTGACTTTTATCTTCGTAAAACTTCTAATAAAGAAGCAAAAGACCATTTAGGGGCTATTAACCAACGAATAAATCATATAATTTTGCATCGTCTGACTGATTGTTTATTCGCATCAACTAAAACGGACCTGCCCATTTTGTTGATTTGACCGCGCCGAGTCTCATTTTGACTGACAATGGCGAAGACGTGCGCAGGATGTATTCGTGGATTAATGATAATATTCAATTTCCTTTTCATCGTAAGTTATATTGTTGTTTTTTTTCCTACGGAGATTTTATTCCGAGGGAAGTTTTTCGTCTTTGTAAACAAAACAGCTGGTTTAATCGCCTAAACTTTATGCAAGTAAAGCAGCTATCAACATACGTTTACAGAATGCACTTGTTTGCCTCATTCCGTAGCACTGCTTTCGTTCGCGCCTTTGCTCCGTATGGGCTCTACGGGTTTTCTAATTGATGCTCGACGACCACTTTTGAGCGAATCCCGATGTCCCATGATGTCGCCCATTTAGGCAGGTGGAGTAACCTTGGGCCCCGTTTAAACCTGACCCGCTCTGTAGTACCGTCTCCCAAAAATAGGGCCAGTAGTAAATATGTTTGCACCCCACAAAAAAACTAATCAGGTGGTGGGTTTAATGCTGCCTTTTTCTGTATATCCCACAAAATTGACCGTGGTCATGATGGACTGTCTCACTGCTGCCAGAAAACGGAGCGGTGTTCTCTCTAGTCCAGTGAAAAATAATGCATAAAGTCTGGTTATTTCACCGCCTCTGGGCAATGCTTGAGTGGTCACAAAATACTCCAAATAGGCTTCTATCCGCTTCTCAAGGTCATCTCTCTCCTTTACTCAAAACGTTCAGAACAGCCCAGTTTTTCGTTGTGTTTTGGAGGGCCCTTGTAGTTTTTTCCGCTGCGCCTTCTATTTTTTTCGGCTTCCAAAATAGGAAGACTTCCTAAAAACACCAGATAATCGCTTTGATTTCTGCCACTTCGTTATCGGCGCTCCAAAGATTGCCGGTGCCAAGTTAATAGCTGTGTGACCCTCTACACTTGATCAGAAATACTTTCGGCATCACTCGCCACCGGGTACAGGTGGGAGAGTTTCTATAATAACCAGATTTAGCTTGTGATATGGTCGAAGAGGAATTGCTTGTTGGTTAAGGTGTGCCCAGATGTGTCCGATGGCACTTATCTCTTCCCTGAAAACCTGTTGAGTTCGGATTGTTGTCGCCAACATAAGTACTGCTGGACAGCTCGACAGTCAGTGCCAACTGTTATTTTGGAATAGCCGAATCAATGGTTGAAGTGAAGCCGATGAATCGCCGAGTTCTAACAGTGTTCATCAATTGGCCATTCTCCGTCGGAAGTGTCTACAACACTGGCATGCATGCGCGTCTATTCTGGCTGACGTTTCAAGACGCTCAAGAATCGTCTATTGGCTATAAGGACATAGGAGTCAGCCAAATGGGCAGGTACCAAAGCGTCAATCGTTCCGGGTTTGCCCCTTTCAGCCCTTTGAACTTTTCAGCATTGTCGTCATGCTTTTTGTCCCATCGTTTAATTGATCAGTTATAGCTTAAGTGGTTAAGTCAGACCTGGAGAGAATGGTAGGCTTGGTCATCATCCGTGTTCGTGATGGAGCCTCTCGGACAACGGTTTTTTGTCCGACTGTCGATTTCAGAGCATGGGTCTAGGTAGTTTCTTGTAGCCGGCTAAAGTACCATTGGTGCTAGCCCATACTAGTTTAGCTTGTATCCTTGTGTCTTTAATAACCTATTATCATGTCGCCTGACCTGAAATCCCAGATCGCACCTAATCTTGGGTTCCAGACCCCCCACAAAGGTAATAACTATCGGAACTTGTACAAATCGACGCTCTTCAGGTATTTGGTTTAGCGTGTTAATTGTTCATTCCTGTCGTTTCATTCGACTCATGTTCCACTTCTTCTTCGCCAAGCTTCGTTGCTGGAATTGTTTTCCTTTCGCAAGCAAGTATATCTACCTGTGACAACTTTTTCATTTTCCAGCTCATCGGCCTTACTGTTGTGGGACTTGGTATATACCTTCTCGTATCGGGTTACGTTAGTGAACCGGATGGTCGACTCAGCATTCTCGCTTTCCCTTGTATCGGCCTTACTATTCTCGGAATCATACCCGTTTTTCTTGCAATTTGCGGGTGCTGGGGTGCCCTGCGCTTCAATCGTTGCTGCCTCGGATTGTACTTCACATTCCTACTCTTCGTATTCGCAGCTGAGATCGCAACTGGTATTGCAGGCGTTGTCTACAAGCAGCAGGTAAGTAATTTCAATTAATGGGTTGGCCGCGACCACGTGTTCACAGATGTTCTTCTCAGAGTCACGGACTTCTTTTGTCTTCTTATCAGCTAGTTCTTTTTTAGTAATTGCCTCTAGTATAATCAACACCACACCAATCTTGGTGAGAACTTGACTATTTGCTCAAGGTCCCTACTGGCTTCATAGTGGCTGTTTTTATTGAACCCTTGCGTTGGTATTTTTCCATCCCGCGCCAGTACTGTAGCTTTTCAGCCGAAATACTCAGTTCTCCCTCCTATATTCGCGGTTGGTTGATTGTGTGCATACGCTTTTCTGCCTTTGGAGATCACCTCACGGAGTCATCCTAGTTTGGACGAATACGTGCCTCCCTCTGATGTCAAGTCCGTTCTGTTAATTTTCTAAAACTGCATTCCATTGGGGCGCTAAACTGCCATTGGTTGCCTCCACCTTCGGCTGTAACTGCAATTTTGCTCTTTCATCCACATCCGGTTTTTTGTGACATCAGGGGAGCCAAAATCAATAGAACAGGAAGGCATTGTGGGACATTCGCGATAGAAGGACATCAAGGCTTCTTTCAGGCTTATGACTCAGACAAGTGTGCAGTCTCGCCACTTGATTTGAGAACCTGTGACTGGACAGTTCGATCGTCGATTCCGACGACATTAAGCAGGGTAGGTTCAGGGATGGTGACTTGTCTTTCACACAATGAATTGCGAGATGGCTCTTATCTCAACTGAGTTAGTGTTATAAAGGCCATTACAGTCTGACCTCCAGTCCACCAGTCGGCCATTCAACGCACAAACTGGGCGAGGTCTGAGTTGAATCATCAATTGGTAATCTTCCAAGCCGCGACTTTTAGCTCACCGTGGAAGTCCCGGGCGCGTTATATCATTTATAGTGGTGAATGTGCGCTGAGCCGACCATACTCTCTTCCCTTCTCTTAGGCGGTAGACGATTGTCAGAACCGGTCAACCAACTGACGGAGCTAAGAACTGTCCGCCTGCGCGTGGCATACACAACCTGCCCCCCCCCCCCCTACGGTTATTTTACACAGAATTGTTCGCATGAGGAGGGAGCCGAAGGACACGCTTGCCACTTGCATGGGAGCTGCCCAGTTCCTTGCTGCAGTGTGCGATGTTGGATGTGTGGGGCGTGTGTTGGTGGGGAAGTGTAGCAGCAGCGGACAATCTGCTGCACCGCTACTATCTGCAAGCTGATAGTTTCACTCGTGAAACCCATCTGTCCATCCCAGGTTGCGAACGGAAGCACGACTTCGTCCTATTGCTTGCCCGCGATGGGGTTTACCTGATCACCATCTCTGCTCCTCCCCGGGATACAGATCGGCAGTCTAGGCCCCTATCTGAGCACTCGACAGCAGATACGTGCGTGACAAGCATAGCCCATTCTCTCACAGATTATTTGCTTGCGTTTCCCTCTTTACACGGGCAGACGTGCTGTCACCTTGGCCAAAGCAGCGTTCACCGTTCTGTTCACTTACTTGCTTTTACCTCACTGAGAAGCCGCGAGCCAGTAAAAGTGGTTGCCAGTGGTGTCGCGTCAAGAAAACGGAGTAGTGTAACATGCACGCGACATCGCTGTGGGGTTCATTGTGAACTGACAAGCCAATAGAAAACGAGTGTTTTCACACATGAGAGCCATGATGCGTAAAAGTGCGCAGTGTCGTGTGTGTGCGACGCATGCATGTTCTCTTGGCCGCAGATGAACTCGCAAGTCACAAAGTAGTCTATTGTGCACTTGGTATCGTAAACGCTTGGCACTTTCTAACGCGACGAGTTCTCGTGCTACTTCCGGTCAGTTCTGTCGTCATGAGAATGAACGTACTGTTTACTACCTAAGGGGTTGTTTAAGAAGTGGTCTGTCGGCCATCTGTCTGGATCGCGAACTGCATTCTACACTTTCATCTGCGCCTCCACAGTAAGGGCAAGTGGGTACGCCCTGCTCGCCACTGCGGGTTCTGTTTAAGTTGTAGAACCAGTATTGTTCGCTCCACGGCACAACTACTTCGAAGTATTTATGCGGTCCGACACGATCGAGTTGCAGGAAGCGAGTAGATCTCAGCCTTGGATAGCCAGATGTTTGAGCGAACACAGAACCACTGTTATATGCTAACTGGGACGACGCGGGAGAAAGGGTGATTATCAGCTAATTCCAGACGACGGTCGTCCGGAGGTAACGACAATGGCAAGTCGTAGTAAGCTATTGAGATGCGTGCGTTGTAACCTGTTCGCATCTTTTTTCCCCCTTTTGCAACGTGCGCCGCTGTGCGGCTGCTAGTTGGGCTCGACAGAGAGCCCGTAAGACACAAGGGGACGGGTGAGTTCCGTAAAAACGATTTAAGATTGTATGTTTCCGATCACAGCCGACAAGACAACGAGCCTGTGTCTCAGGAACTCACTCGTTCCGTTGTGCCTTTCGGCCTCTCGAGCCCAACCAGCAGCTGCACAGCGGCGCAGAATGGTATTACCGACAACGGTTAGGGGCGTTTGACTTGTAACTAACAGGTCGCGGGATCGAGCCCCAGGTGTTGCAAACTTCAGGATTGGGTATGGCTGGCTGGCGACAGCTAATAAGCCAGAAATGGCCATCCCAGTCTACCTTGTCTTTGTCGGTAATACCACTCTGCCAACGTGATAATGCCTTAATAAGTGATATTTGAAGACAGGAATACCGTCTACAGTACCATGACTAAGTAGAAAGCACAAACGAATCTGCTTAAATTGTTTACGAGGGTTTGCTTGGCGTTCTCTTCAATGGGTTTAACTTCGAACTGCTGAATTACGGATTCGATTAGAAAGTATTGGCGAACGAGTCCAGGTTTGGAGGTCCAAGGTTGAAATATTACACAACACAATGAGTGTCCAGCTTTTTCACGATGATGGAAGTGGACAGAATAGCTGCCTGGTGCGCAAAAAAGATAAGATTGACTCTCTTTGACGAGAATGTCTACGGTTTCTGCGATTTCATTGACTACCAGTACTGTTAAGCCGGTTAGGATAGATCTTTCAGGATGACGGTGCACCAGCGCATCGATGTCGCACTGTTTTCATCATTTCTAAAGCCCACAACAAAATCGAATATCCACCATGGCCAGTCGCCTTGATCTAATGGAGTACGTCTGAACGGATGGCCTCCATTACACCGAAACAGCTGGCGCTCTTGTCCCTTATATTGGCCCCTGCGGATGTGCGGAAGCAAGAACACGTCTCAAGGGCGGTGGACCCTTACCCCCTTTTTCTGGGTCCTGACGAACAGTATTCAACCACGGCATACGATGCGCGCTAAAATTCTTTAAAATTTAGTGCTTGAATACCGTTGTATGCCTATCTGTCCATAATTGCACGATTCTGTTGCACCATCTATTTCTTTTCATTCATTGCTCATTTTTCTCTGGCGCTCCAGGTTCGCGATGGCATCATGCAATACCTAAAGGCTGCTGTTGATGCTTACCAGCCCAATGACGGTCAGAAGTTAACCGCTCTCGATCTCATTCAGGTCACGGTAAGTCACACCGGATACTGTTGTTTATATTCCCAAACTTTGTGTTGCCTTCTCATCCTTCCCGGACCTCGGCGGTAAACACTTTAGATCCTCAGGATCCGGTCCCGACGTTCGATGACGATGGCATCACGACTGTACCCTAACGACTCGATAAGCGGCAGGGGGACACACGGCTATTATGATCTTGCCACTTAGCCTCAAGCTGACCTTCCCACTCCTATAACTCCTGTCCACTGATGAGTTGCAAGTATAAACGCCTTCCAATCATTTTCACGCCACCTGCTGGTCAAATTCAAGCACACGTTCAAGTGCTGCCCTAGACTACTTTTTGTACTCGATAATCGGCACTTTTGTTTAGACCGGCCATCCTATTAAAGCCAGAACTGATAGGATGTTTGTCATGAGCGAACGTTAAACTATCTCTCCCCTCCCCCCTGTGCCTGCACCCCGCCTGTCCGTACGCCCTGATCTAACGTCCCCCTCCGGACGCTTTAGGCAAGCCTGATATACTCTAAGTGACTGATCTGTTGAGATTGTAAGGCAAATCCTGTGTTCAGAAGATTGTTGACGACAGGAATCCTCCACTGCAACAGCAACCGACAGTTCGACCATCGATTTCGATGATGTTCACCGTATGCCCCACATACTGCATTGTGGAGCAGGGACGGTGACTTACGCAGAGATTTATAGTGCCAGTAGACTTGCGTAGCATTTACCTACACTCTCCTCCTCCCCCGCCTGAACCCGGTGTCAAGACCAAGTCAAGAAGACCGGAGACGAGGGAGGCCGCAGGTGGATGGCTCGGACGGACCTCGCCTTGGCGCTCCACTCCGCACCCCCTGGTCCACACACAAATGACCAGAATTTTGACCACAAAACAATGGGGTGATGGCAGTGGTCCAGTTGTGCAGCGATTGCCGTCAACAGGATCTGCCAGCGCACCCCGCAAATGTTGGCATTTGTTATTGCGCACAAATAACGCCTGCCAGAGTCCGATGTGGCCCCCGTGTTGGTCCAGCGCATCTAACACGTGGCCCGTTTAGAGGGCAAGCAACAGCAACCACCGCCTGTTGCATAAACACAGTTGGCTCTGGACGCGCTTTCTCCGGATCTCACTGCACATAAACCCAGAGGAGACTGCGAGGGCGCGCGGGTCCCTATGTCACCTATTCCTCTTCCATGAATACCCCTGCATTCACCTGAACGACGGCACATTACGACTGACTGCGAGGAAAGACAGGAGCCCAAAATTTTATGGCGTCTGACCCCGTGGCGTTTCGAAAGCCACAGGACGTATGCTAAGACCACTCAATATGGGTCTAGGGCGCCAGCCTAAGGCCACTATTCGTCGCTTGTTCATGGAGCCCAAAGCTCTACAACGCCTGAGAGGGCACGTCTGGAATAATTTATCTCGTCAACAGTCCAGGCTGTCTGGCCAGCTGCTGCGACATGACCGGTAAACAGCTAAGAACGCGTATGCGCGAGCGCGGCCTAGCGGTGGAGCGATAAGACGTACGACCACATCTAACTATGCACAGCCTCGACAATAGTCATCGATTAGCCCTTGACAGTGATCAAGCCGATGCAAACCCTTTCAACCACAGAGTCAACCCACCAACACCATACGATGCTGTCAGACACCGTTTTCCGCACGAACGAAAGCCCGATGGTGAACCTATCAAGAGTGAGACGGAAAGACTTAAGCTTATGCTTCCCACTTTTTTGTATCACTGATGACACGCTCAAGTCAGAGTGCGAAACGTCAGTTGAATAAACCGTTCTTCCATCTATCTCTACACCTGGGGTCAACACCATGTATGACAGCTAGTCACTGCACCGAATTACACCAATACCTGTGGGCAATTTAGTTCTCAGACGCACTGGCAAAGTTTCGAACCAAAAACCGTATGTCAACTTCCATGTCACCATAATAGTCATTTCGGCTTTGTAAACTCCTCGGTAACTTGAAGTAAGTCAGTCGGAATGAAGCTTTATAAGCCCAATCCGAAAGTTGATGTGCATATTTGAGCTGAAACCCACCAGACACCGCGAAATATTCATAAACCGCCAACAGGCAGTAAGTAGTATGCAAATATAGCATGATTTACCATATTGACAGCTAGTACCTGTGCTGTCAGTATGCATTATTTGTATAATCATAATTCATATTGAACCAACTGTGAAAAACTCGGCGCCTCGATGGGATTCGAACCCACCACAGTAAGAGGAAGGCTTTAGTACAGCCAACACTCTAACCCCTTGAGCTACGAGGCCCCGCTGGACGACGCGAGTTGAATCACATTGGGGTCAAGTTATCCGCCCAACCTACTGCAACGTCTGGAATCCACCAAATCTGCTACAGTAAGTTGACTGCCCAAGCAGGAGATCGTAGGTAATTCACCCAAAATCCACCAGATGACTACCAGGTTCACGTAATTCATCGATGTTTTGGCAGATTTTGCATAATTCATATTGACCCAACTGAAAAACGGCGCCTCGGTGGGATTCGAAGCCACGCAGTACAGCCAAATCTCTAACCACTTGAGCTACGAGGCCCCGCCGGACGACGCGAGTTTAATCACATTTGGGTCAAGTTATCAGCCCAATCTACTGCAACGTCTGGAATCCACCAAATCTGATACAGTAAGCTGACTGCCTAAGTAACTCACTTAGAATCCACCAGATGACTACCAGGCTCACGTAATTCATAGATGTTTTGGCAGCTTTGGAATAATTCATATTGACCCAACTGTGAAAAACTCGGCACTTCGGTGGGATTCGAACCCACGCAGTAAGGGGAAGATTTTAGTACAGCCATCTATGAATAATCATCATTGTTAACAACCTCAATCGGAGCTTGTTGTCCCGGGGGACCATTTTCTCTCCCAGCGTTATATGAAATTTAACTAACAACGACGGCTAATAAGCCAGAAATGGCCATTCCAGTCTCCCTTGTCTTTGTCGGTAATATCATTCTGCCTATATATCATGCGCCGCTGTGCGGCTGCTGGTTGGGCTCGAGAGAGAGAGCCCGTAAGGCACAACGGGACGAGTGAGTTACGTAAGAACGATCGGTGAGCGCCCCCTACCATTATATATTCCCGATCGAAACCAACAGGGCAACGGGCTCGTGGCCCAGTGGTTATATGCGTGGGTTTCTAACTAACAGGTCGCGAGTTCGAGCCTCGGGTGTTCCACACTTCGGGGTTGGGTATGACCGACTGACGACGGCTACTAAGCCAGAAATGGCCATTACAGTCTCCCGTGTCTTTGCCGGTAATACTAATCCCTCTCCCTTCCTGCCGCCCTCTCACTTCTCCCCGAAAGTTCCAATGTTGCGGTTACGAGAGTTCCAACGACTACCTGAAGAAACTTCAGAGTGTGCCGCAGTCCTGCTGTGCGTACGGCGACTGTGTTGCAATCGGCGCCAACCTCTCCTCTGACCTGCCCGTAAGTCACCCAAGCCTCATTTCTGGCCTAAAAGAGCATTCTTTTGTGCGGGCTGACGCCGAGCATTCTTCGTTTTCAGGGTTGCAAGCATCGAGCCATCGACATTGAGAGCCGGACCCTCATTATCTGTGCTGTCATCATCGCCCTAGCTCTGATCCAGGTGAGACACTACCCACAGCCCCTTTCTTTCTCAATTTGAACGGTTTTTCGCACAGGCTGGAGCGCTTAAGAAGCTCATCTCTCGAACCTGTCCTGTCCTGTCTTGAAGCATGTTCTTTTTTGTGAGGACGTCGAGGTCTTTGCCGATTTACCAGACCAAAGCAGCAGTGAGTAGGAATGGCTAGCCATCAGGGTTCTAAAGGCGGTCTGTAACGATCAATGTTCGGTTCTTGGGTTTAAGGACTGTGCGCGTATGCAATGCCACGTTTCAGCAAACCATGGCTCTCACAGCCTGGTGTGTGCTGGCAGTTCTCTGGCACCTGATTCTCTGCTGGTGAATGCGTTCACGTTCTCGCTAGGTATACAGGCCGTGCGCATGGTTGCCCAGCGACCTGTGTCATCATCTAACCCACTACTGTTGTTAAAATCTTGCTCAAGTGTTTGTTGTGGACCAGGGGGTGTAGTGGTACACCTATCTGCGGGTTCGGCTGCGCCAGCCACCTGCGCCCTCTCCGGCCTTCAGTTTTTTGACTACGTCTTGATACTAGGGCTCAGGCGGGATAGGAGGTGAGAGTGTGGTAGATGCTGTGCAAGTCTACTGCTACCATGAATTAATCCAGCGCAAGCCGTCGTGCCTGCTCTCACCTTACTATGGAGCACACGGTGGACATCGTCAGCAACGACGGTCGGACCGTCAAGTGGTGTGGCTGACCCGGTCAGTGGCGGTTCACTCAGAATTGTAAGTATAACGCTTTACATGCTTGAGTTCAGTCCTGTTGTTTGGCGTTGAAGATAAAAGTGCCCTTGGAGGAACCGCTTTACTCTGATAATGCAGGTTTGCCGACAACTTAACGCGCTGTGCCAGCCATGCTATGACTGGTCAGCTCGTTTTGTGAAATCGTAGGCAGCACACCCTTCTCTACCTTGCCTTCCGAGCATTCGGTTACGAGCGAGGACGCCCTGACTGGCTGACTGACGCGCGCGCGCGCTCGAAAATTTTGTCGCATGGTTCGCGAAAATTCTCTGCTGTGGTGGTTTGCTGTTCGCGCTTGCTGCGGAGCTACTAACTCCCGGACTGTCGTCTTTTCTAACCAAAAAGTCCCATTAGCGCAATGCTTTTTGCGCAATCAGTACGACCTTAGTCGACCCAGGGGCCCCAAGGGCAGCCGTTGCAATAAAGCAAAACTTCTTATTGCGGGACCTGTCAAGTGCTGGGACTGCCTTTGCTGATCTGTCCTAGGAGAACACTGCGTCCTGAAAATGCCAAGCGAGAAGGTGGCGTGCGTACGTCGACCTCGACCGATTTGACTTGCAAACAGAGCGTCTTTTCGTGAGCGCAGGCTCTAGTCCTCGCACTCTTAATGTGCGGAGTTAATATCAATGGTGGGGGCGCTCACCGGTCGTTCTTACGGAACTCACTCGTTCCGTTGTGCCTTATGGGCTCTCACGCGAGCCCAACCAGCAGCCGCACAGTGGCGCATGACATAGGCAGAATGGCCTTACCGACAAAGACAAGGGAGACAGGAATGGCCATTTCTGGCTTATTAGCCGTCGTCAGCCAGTCATACCCAACCCCGAAGTGTGGAACACCCGATCAAAACCGACATGGCAACGGGCTCGTGGCTCAGTGGTTAGAGGCGTGGACTTCTAACTAACAGGTCGCGAGTTCGAGCCTCGGGTGTTCCACACTTCGGCGTTGGATATGACTGGCGGAGGACGACTAATAAGCCAGAGATGGCCATTCCAGTCTCCCTTGTCTTTGTCGGTAATGCCATTCTGGGGTTAATATCACCATTACCATAAAAATACATGAACTTTGTTACAGGCTAAGGTTGCATTTGCCGGCGAAAAATGTACGTAGTACTGCGGATACAGTAGATGGAAGAGGAACAGACAAAGTGGCTTCGTGGAAAGAGAAGCACTACCAATAACGGGGAAAGTTCGCTTTATTTCCTGCTTGTGTTTGGTACGTTTTCAAATATGCCTGACTTATCCGGCCTCTGATTTCCAACCAGACGCCTTTTGGTTGGGATCTGGCCTCGTCACCTCTAATCGGGAATAATGGTCAATAGGTGATATACACTGATTCGATAAGTGAGGAAGAAGACTGGTCGAGCTCCGGAACAGTGGTTATTGTGCTGCGCTTTCGAACTCATGCAGGAGTCCATCATCGGAGACAGCAGCAACAACAAGACGAGCGAAAGTTATAGAGCGTTCTAGCCAATCGCCGATTGGGATGATTGCTCAGAGCTCTGTACGCCCGCCCTAGATCGATTGACTGAGTACTCATCGGAGGCCCGGGTTTCAATCACTTTGCGGCCTGATTGACTAGCACGACCAATAATTGTTGCCCGTTCTAGGCAAGAGACAGGGACAAAGGGAGACTGGAATGGCCATTTCTTGCATATTCGCCGTCGTCAGCTAGTCATGCCACCCCCGAAGTTTGAAACACTTGGGCTCGATCCCGCGGCCTGTTGGTTAGAAGTCTAACGCCTCTAACCGCTGAGCCACGGGCTCTTTGTCCTATCGGCTGCGATCGGGAATGTACAATGGTAGAGGGACGCTCACCGATCGTTTCTACGGACCTCACTCTTGTCTATGTCATGCACCATTGTTCGGCTGCTGGTTGGGCTCGAGAGAGAGAGCCCTAAGGCACAAAGCAGGACGAGTGAGTCCCGTAGAAACGATTGGTGAGCGCCCCTCTACCCCTGTTGCCCGTTCTGTTATTCATACTATCTCCGACGATGGACTCCTTCATGAGTTCAAAAGCTCAGAAAAATAAACAGACTCTTCCGATGCTCAACCAGTCCTCTTCCTCACTTACACACACACCTGGAACTCGAACTTTCGCCTCCACACTGAAACCATCCCGGTGGCTTGCTATATCCACGCGGTGACGTCTCGGTGAATGCGACTTAAGACGAGGCGTACATGCCTCAATCAAAGGATTGTCCTCTGACGGCGGTTGTAAAGAAACTCAACTTCCCACACGCGAGATGAGCTCGTCTCTCCGTAGCCACTAAGATCACCACCACCACCGCCTTGCCAGGAAGGGCGCAGTGGTAATTTGCGCGTGAGCTTGCTGAAACGGGCTTGTCTAGCGCCTATCTCACTCATTCCACAATCACCACATTCGAATGGCAGAGCTAAGACGATCGAGAATATGCGCGGGTGTATTGGCTGATGAGGCGGAAGTGACTTTTGCGCTCTTGACCCTTGTTGACCTGCCTTCAAAGAGGGGGATATCGGATCTATCATGCAGGACAGTTGTCATAAAGAACGCACTAAAGAGAGAGAGGGGGGCCATCGAAGTCTGAACCTCGTCTGACAAAGGAGCCAAGTTCTGCCCAGCCCTTCGAGACCCACTAGGTGACGCGATTAATTATCATGATCAGAAGGCTCTCTGTTCTGTCTCACATGTATCAGTGGCCTGTCGACCGCCGAGGATCGGATTGGACGCCACTGACCCAGCGCGAATAGCTGGAAGAATATCTCCAGGCCGTACCAAAGGCGTTCATATCTATTAGGTACTCGGAGGTGAAGTTCGTGATGGTTCAGTCAGTTCAACTACCTACAGCGGTGGTATTTCCTACCGATGGAAGGAACCACTTGCATCAAGCCGCATGTGCGCCACCGTTGTACGAAAATACATTGGAATCTTTCGGCAGCGGTAGAGGTCGCTGAGTCCGAAAACGTCTCCACGACTCCCATGCCGTCTCGAGGAAGCTGTTCATGTTCGGTGACCATTGCACCCTTTCGTCTAATTGATGCGCTCCTGCCCTTCTTGCGCCAGCACGTATTCAAACGACATTATGAAGGCTTGTATTAAGTACCAGAAGTTAGGTTGCTCACCACTTTGCCCTGGTCCGCACTTATGGTTGAACATCTTCACCATCGTGTATGACTTCGTCTGAAAGTATTGGCCGAACTTCAAGTGGAGCCACTGATAGTGGCCTTGAGGGGTCTGGTCATCCGAGTTCAAGGGCTTGACCTAAAGTTCGCTGGATTTATATCCGAAACCGCGCGGAGAAACACAGATCAGCTGGAGTTCCCGCAATTGCTGTAGATCATCAATTTCTGACCTTTGGGTAAGATCTGTGTTTGAGTCGTAGTGAAGTAATTTATTTGTGTATATTTGTTTCCACTCACCAACTGTTTCATTTCTGTCATTCCAGTTGGTCGGCCTGGTCTTCTCCATGATCCTCTGCTGTGCTGCAAAGGACAGACACTCCCGGACTCACTACCAGCCCGTGCAGAGTTAGAGCCATCGACTTTGTGTTCACCATCCTGATCGGACATTTACTCACCTGGTGGATAATGCATCTTACAAGCCGGCGACGAACTGTCCCCGGTCTCCTTAAAAGTCTCTCGTTTTCCCTCTTTCCCTCGCCGCAATGGCCAGACACAGTTGACTCCATTGCGTGTGTGCGCGCGCAAAACATGCTCTTGTCCCCCCTCTCTCACCTCCCTCATCGCGCCTTAAAACTTCTCTGCCACTTCTACACAACGATAAACGGTGGTCAGTCATCCGTTGGCGCTTGGACACTTGTTCTGCTCCATTAACACTCACCTCGTCAAGCCATCTGCGTGGACATCGCCGTTGCCCTAAATGTCTGTGTGAGCATGTAATTTAATCCAAGCTGTCCCTCACGCACACGCATGCACGCCTTTTCCCCTCGTATGTGGCGGTCTTTTTGCCGCAGGAACTTTTTAATTCATACTTCACTACTGGAAATGTCACTCGGTTAATAACCCTTGCTCTCTCTCCGTCGCTATCGTGTCTGCCCACTCTTCGTGTGCTTGGGGGTTCCCAACATCGTGACTATGGAACCCGCTCAGCAATGTCTCCGCTCCCGGCTCTATCCGCTTAATGCTGTCATGCTTGCTACCCCTCTGTTAGCAGTCGGGTTACGCGTAAGGCCGTCGGTGTATGACATTCACTTTTTGTCCGCGGAGACAGTACCTGCTCTTTTTGTACACTTCGACGTCTATAAGCCTCTCTTACCTAAATTTCCATCTATTTGCCTCCCGGCTGTTTTCTGGTCACGAACGTTTTATTATCAACTTTTCACCTCACTCCATTTTTCACGCTGTACTTGGTGGATGTGGTTTGCTCTGGGTGCCTCGGTGGTTTCTATCACCTGAAGACTGTCAACTCTGTAAGCTGGGTGCAGTAGGGACATCGAGTCCGGAGGAGGTGGCGAGAGAGACATCGCGAGATGGTTGCCTGTAATTGAACCGCGGGTAGAGGGAGTTGGTGGATCGTAGGTCAAGGGTGCGGACACGGAGATGCAACATTCTTGTCAGATTCGGGTTGTACTGAACAGAGGGCGTTGTCTGTCCCTGAATCCAGATAAAGCCGATGTGCCTAATCCTCAGGGGTCGGTCATTGCGCATTGGTGCTCAAAAGTTGGTCCTCGATTGGCACACTCAGTAGAACTATAGGCCTGCATCCCGCTTCCCAGGCGCTGCGCACAATGCAGTAACCTACAGCATACCATGCCAAAACTGTGACCCAAGCTATGTTTGTGAAACGGGCAGAGGCCTTGGCGCAAGACTGCACGAACACCAACTTGCAGTCAACCGCAAGGACGAGCTTTCTGGGGTCTACGGCCAAATGCGACGGATGAACCACAGTTTTGCTTTTGAAGGGGTAAGGATGATCGACCCAACCCATGAGAAGATGAACACACTGGTGCTCAAAGGTTGGTCCTCGATTGGCACACTCAACAGACTTATAAGCGGAGGAGACACGGTCGCCCAAGTGGTGCGATACTTACAGGCTGTGGTTGCTATGTCGCTACATGCCTATCACAGTTGTCAGCTCCCTAGTGCATCAAACCTCGACTGGCCAGGTCTTGGAGTACGCCGTTGCCATGCAGTTGCTGTGCCGGTCAAGATTATCGGCTCCCACGCTCATCGCGCTATAAGCCTACACCCCACCTGCTGGGCGCTGCGCACAAGGCTCAGGTCGGTTTGGACTGCCAGTAGGGCGGCCGAGCACGAGGAACCGAGAGCCAACCCTCATTGAAATGATGGAAGGTGGCGGCCGGCGATCACGTACCCAACGTCGAATAATTCCTCATCGGTGCACCCGCGAGGCTGAAAGCTACTCTCGCGAATGGCAATGACTGATCAGTCCTCCGGCTGAAGAAAGGAGAGAAAGGTCACACGAACTCGCAAGCGGCCAACCTCTGGAAGGTTAAAGCTACTTAGTAACAGACGGGTAGGTCAAAGTTCGTGCGTCGAGCACGGCTATAGTACGAGGCAAGCAGCAGGACTGGATGATTCAAAACCATCAGGAGTAGCAACCGCAATGCTCTGACTACGGAAACGAGGAATTTTCCCGAACGTCAGTACGAATGCAGTTTAGTAAATGTACTCGCGCTCTCTTCTGCGCCTTCCTGGGGAAACGATGGACGCGACATTTATGAAAAAGAGAAGGCACCGGTAGTCTCCTTAATCGGTGCACCCAACTATAAGATCTCGAAGTGGCTATTTGGCCAACTACATCCACTTACGAAGAACTAAGGGAACTCCATTCAGGATTCAGAAGAGTTTCTAGACAAATTAAACGGTAGCAACATTACTTGTGACGAGATAATGGTGTAATTCGATGTGGTCTCGCTCTTCACATCGATTCCGCTAGATTTAGCGAAGAGCTGTACCGAAGAACCCCTTAAAACACACACTTCTGAGGTGCATACAGGGACTTTACTTCAACTCCTAGATCTCTGTCTGGAGACAAATTTTTTCTCCAAACAATACAATCGACAATTAAAGGGCGCTCCCATGGGTTCACACATATCCGGTTTCCTGGCAGAGGCCGTAATGCAGAAATAAGAAAGCATAGCTCTTCCCGCAGGTAACCCAAAACTCTGGCTGCGATATGTAGATGACACATTTGTCATTGTCAAGAGAAACCAATTAGACCAACTTTACACGAACCTTAATTCCACATTTCCAGGAATCAAGTTCACTTTCGAAACGGAGGTTGATGGACAACTCCCATTTCTGGATGTCCTCGTATGCCGAAAAACTGATGGATCCCTTCTCACTTCAGTTTATCGCAAAGAAACATAATCCGGGGTCATCCTACATTTTGGGAGTAACCATTCCATCTCCCACAAGAGGAGTGCTGTCTACAGCCTGCTAAACCGAACTAAAACATGCTGCTCTGATGAAGAAAGTTATCAAGCAGAAATGAAATAACTTTACAAACTATTCTCTCAGAATGGGTACCCGCATGACTTTGTACGCCAGTGCCTGAAACATGAGTTTAGATGGGAAGGTATTTCGAAAACAACGGCCACCCAGGCACCAAAACATTTATCTGCGGACTCGCTCTTACGTGAAAAATGTATCTGAAGTCGTCGAAACAGCTGAAAAAGCACCATATACAAGTAGCACACCAACCTACCACCACTTTGTGTACACAGCTTGTATCCCCTAAGGACAGGGTTGGTTATTTTGATAGAAAAGGAGTTGTCTACAAAATACCATGTTCCAGTTATGGTGCCACCTATTGTGGCCAAACAAGGGAATCCGTTTCAACCCGTATACATGAGCATCAGCAAGCAGTGAAGAGAAGAGATCACCTATCCCAGGTGGCTATGCACACACTGGACACTGGGCACAAACTTGCATGGGAAAACACTCGCATTGTTGGCGCCTGCCCAATAAGGAGAGGCCGCGAATTCCTGGAGGCAATGCACTTAGATGAGGTATGCATCAACCGGCATATGGATTTGTGTGTGGCATCTAGATCGATGTGCCGGTTGATGCATGCCTCATCTGAGTGCCGAAATTCTGGAATGCGTTTTCGATTAGGAGGGATTCCTTAGGTGGAGCTGTAATCTTGTTTATCAAACGACGTAATGCTGATAGAAGCGAGCAGGCGAGTTCCAGGTAGCAGTTAGGAAGATGAAGATGCGATCACTGGAACAAGAAATTTATTTGCCTGACCTTTCGGATTCTTACTCGGATCCATCATCAGAAACATCCGCAGACAAAGGTGATGGTGGCACCAGGAGTGCAGTATTTATAGCACGCGGCTGCCGTGGGACCGTATACGCACTGCAATTAACAGTTCTCGCAATCACCGCTGGGGTCATAATTGATGCGGTGGTGGCTTGTCGGTCCGAGTCCGAGTCGTTAATGGCCGCGATTTCGTCATCCGTGCTGGATGCCGGTGTGACGATTGCTCAGCAAACTGGCTCACTGTCACCGTGATAATTGCTCGCCCGCGCCCTCCCCACGTGACTGATTCTCCTGCCCAGGGAAAATCACAATACGGAATAGGGTGCCGGGAGGTCATTGTGCTTGTTGATGGATTGCGGGCCTGGGAACTATGACTTTAGCAGCTCGCGGCTCACGCGGTCGTCACCCCTTGCGAGGATTTCGGCCTCTTGAAATTTGAAAATATGGCCGGGTCCCGTTGAGTGTGCCGCCACCTGAGAACTAGCGTCTCCCCGCCTCACTGTTGCTGCGTGCTCGGCAATTCGCGTACGGAGTAATCTGCCAGTTTCTCCGACATAGTTGCTTTGTCCGCAAGTACATCAAATCCGGTAAACAACTCCAGACGTTTCCTGCCGTGGCAGCGGGTCGTTTGGCCTCATGACTTGGCGCCTAATGGTTGTTTCCGGCCTGTGTGCAACCCCAACTCCAAGTGCAGTGAGAAGACGGCAGTCGTCTATTCTGTACTGCGATTTGCCCTGGGCAGGAGAATCAGTCACGTGGGGAGGGCGCGGGCGAGCAATTATCACGGTGACTGTGAGCCAGTTTGCCGAGCAATCGTCACACCAGCATCCAGCACGGATGATGAAATCGCGGCCATTAACGACTCGGACTCGGACCGACAAGCCACCACCGCATCAATTACGACCCCAGCGGTCATTGCGAGAACTGTTAATCGCAGTGCGCATACGGTCGCACCGTAGCCACCTGCTATAAATACTGCTCTCCTGGTGCCACCGTCATCTTTGTCTGCGAATGTCTCTGATGATGGATTCGAGTGAGAATCCGAAACGTCAGGCAAATAACTTTCTTGTTCCAGTGATCGCATCTTCATTTTCTAAACGACGTAATCCCATAGTATTTCGGACCCGCGAGGATCTCGGCTTTTGAATGCACTTCTTTTCGACCTCCTATCGAAGCCACACTCGGTACAAAATGACTACCTAGGTAGCATGTATTTTTCACATCAATTTTCAATGGTCTTATAAATTAAAACATTTTTTGTGGAAAACATGCACAAAAATAT